GAAACTTTTGGTCATGAATTTCTTTAATGTTAAAAAGACACCTATTGACTTTAAGGCCAAAAGCTGAAAGGTCAATGTTGATCTTTTTTCTTTCTCCGTCTACAATTTTTTTCCCCCAGTGATTCCACTCTCTTCCTTTTTCACAAATCCTCTGAATTAGCTTGTTTTTATTTCCAACTTTTAAAACCAAATGTGTTTGAAACACTGAAGTCTCCATAAAATAGCTCATCGAGACGCTTAGAATCTTCCACAAAAAATGTCAAACTCTAACTAAAGGTCGTTGACCTGCAAACAAAAATGTTCAGTAGTACCCAAAGAATGGTCTTGTCACAAAGAATACATATATGAAATATATGAAAGCCCTGGTTACAACCAATCAAAAGTTATGGAGAAGATTAGAGTTTTTTGGGACAACTAGATAGAAAGATGAACAGACCAAAAACTATAAGCCCCTGAATTCTATTTCGGGAGCATAAAAAAGTTTATTGTTTTTTTTTTTTTTAACAATTATTCTTTAAAAAAGGATGGGTAGACTTATGAGTCCTGGAAACAAGTCGTAAAATGAAGTTTTATGAAATGTTTGTTTCTTTCCATAAATATAATTTAATTCTGATTGTAACGAGCCATTTGATTGGATAGAAAAATTCGGTTATATCGTATAACCTGGGTTGCCTACGTCACAATAACGTACGTCAGAAACGTATCAATCCGCTTGACGTTACATTTAAAATATGCATACATACTGAAGGCATTTTTGAAAGAGAAATTGTCTTATAAAAACACTCCGGGTAAAATCAAATTCCGGACAGCGACACTAATGGAATTATGGATGTTTCGGGACCGCGATGTTTCGGGACCCCGACGTTTCGGGACCTGACAACACGTTTCGGGACTTGGGTTAACACGTTTCGGGACTTGGGCTAACACGTTTCGGGACTTCTAAATATTTTGTAAAGGAAATGAAATAAAACTTATTCACTTGTGTTTTTATATTTATACATGTATAATTTCTCAGTTTGATACACAATTTATAATTTAAGAAGCACTGATTGGAGTTTTTATTAGTTTTAAAGTTTGCCTGCGGCATGGAGCACGCCTGCCGAGAAAATCAAACGCCCGCGGTGTTGTCTCTTTAATTTCTTATTACAGTATTTGATATATTACCTTTATAAAGTATTTGGTTAACATTTGACCAAAATTTAATTCAAATTTTTTTTTTTAAATATGTATTTGATTTATTTATAGTGTTTGATACGAGAGTTTGTAGAATTAAAGCCGGGAGACAATCATAACTGCTGTGTGAAGACCACGGACGTGTTTTTCTTTCTAAGACTTTCTTTCTCTCCTTTTTAATAAAAATTTTAGGTATTTGATTTCATATTTGTTTACAAAATTTACAAAGGCTCAAGCTAGCACATGTGCAGTAAAAACTTTACGTTTTACGGGTAGTTGTTTTGAATCAGAATCTGAAATATTCCATGTTCAACTTTTTAAACATCAATGTATAAAATTTATAATTATTATTTCAGGTTATATATGCAACAAAATCATAAAAGCAAATTTATACAAAATGTTACGGGTAAGAGAAATGTTATAACTTAAGCTATAAACTTCCTACACATCCATGTATACGTTAAGCAGAGAAGGAAAAAAAAAACGAAATGGGTAAGAAAATCAGCATGTATTTGACATTTCAAATATATATACATGTAACGTCAAAGAACAGCTTGTAAAGTAAATTTTACTGAAAGTATGATGTGTATATATATACCATGTATGCAACATTTGGAAATAAACCGAACTTACTAATTTTCAAAATATAAACACGTTTAACTTATTTTTCATCTTAACGTTTCAAAGTTAGACAATTTCTTCGTCTATGCAAAGTACATGTACTCGATGATGAAAGTAATCGATTTTATTCATTTATTTTAATTAGAAAAAAATTATTCCCACGAAAGTCCCAAATATTCCCGCTATATATTATTGTACTATCAAAATTGTTAATTTGTCTACAATGATATGGATGTCTGAATTTATGTTTACCTGTTTACTGTGTATACACAGACTACAAATCTCAATGAAACTCAATTATCGATTTTCTTATATACCCGACCAGTGCGTAATATTATATGTGGTGTTACATAGTTAGGTACATGACAAACTTTAAATAATACTGTAAACAAGAGGCCCATGGGCCACATCGCTCACCTGAGTAACTTTGGCCATGCTGTTCATTACCAGACTCCCCCCTTGTAATACCTATTGTGGCCCCACCCTCCCCCCAGGGGCCATGATTTGAACAATTTAGAATCTACACTACCCCAGGATGCTTCCACATAAGTTTCAGTTTTTCTGGTCCAGTGGTTCTTGAGAAGATTTTTAAAGATTTTTCCTATATATTTCAATGTAAAACTTGGATTCCCTATTGTTGCCCCGCCCTATCCCCTGGGTCATGATTTGAACAATTTAGAGTGTACACTACTTGAGGATGCTTCCACATAAGTTTCAGCTTTTCTGGCCCAGTGGTTCTTGAGAAGAAGATTTTTAAAGATTTTTCCTATATATTTCAATGTAAAACTTGGATTCCCTATTGTTGCCCCGCCCTACCCCCGGGGGTCATGATTTGAACAATTTAGAATCTACACTACCCCAGGATGCTTCCACATAAGTTTCAGCTTTTCTGGCCCAGTGGTTCTTGAGAAGATTTTTAAAGATTTTTCCTATATATTTCAATGTAAAACTTGGATTCCCTATTGTGGCCCCGCCCTACCCCTGGGGGTCATGATTTTTACAATTTAGAATCTACACTATCCCAGGATGCTTCCACTTAAGTTTCAGCTTTTCTGGCCCAGTGGTTCTTGAGAAGAAGATTTTTAAAGATTTTTCCTATATATTTCTATGTAAAACATTGATTCCACATTGTGGCCCCACCCTACCCCCGGGGGTCATGATTTGAACAATTTAGAATCTACACTACCCCAGGATGCTTCCATATAAGTTTCAGCTTTACTGGCCCTGTGGTTCTTGAGAAGAAGATTTTTTAATGACCCCACCCTATTTTTGTCTTCTCTTGATTATCTCCCCTTGTGAGGGGACTTTGCCCTTCATTTTAACAATTTAAATTCCCCTTCACCCAAGGATGCTTTGTACCAAGTTTGGTCAAAATTGGCCCAGTGGTTCTTGAGAAGAAGTCAAAAATGTGAAAAGTTTACAGACGGACGGACAGACAGACGGACAGACAGACGGACAGACGGACAGACGGACGGACGGACGACGGACAAAATGTGATCAGAAAAGCTCACTTGAGCCTTCGGCTCAGGTGAGCTAATAAATACTAAATATTATTTAATTTGCAAATATTAAATTTTTCATGCTGTAAAAGTGTTTAAAAGACATTCCACATTGACTACGTTAACAGGTCAACTTAAATTTCAAATTTCCACCTTGCCACATTAAATAGATAAAGCTAAGATGAAATTTAAAATGTTTTTAAAGACATTATTTGAAACGATATCAAATGAAATCATGTTGTTTATACCATTTAATGCTTTTTTTAAAGTATGGTATTTTTTTAAATTTAGGGCCAATGTTCTCGCAACATTTGTAAAATATGTTTATTTACAATGTTTTGGAAACTTTAAAAATGTTTTCGTAACATTTCCAGGGAAGAATCTTACAGATACTATGCCAAAACTTTTTGGAAAAAAAAAATATTTGAAACCGTTTGGGAAAAGGTAGACAAAATCAAGATCAAAACATTTTGAAAACCTTTATATTTTGTTGAACTATTGTTTGATTCTGAATTATTTCATTTACCAATAGACAAACGATATTTTTTCCATATTTTTAGATTTTTATTTTCTTAAAATAATTTCAAAAGAAACCACACAATCTTTTTAGTTCCCATTACCGGCGGCGTCTTTATACATGTACGTAACACATCCCTATGTACAGAGTATCAGTTGAGATATGTGTACCTGATCCCAGTTGTTGTTTTAACAATTTACTGACATGTTTTTTAAAGATATATTCGACGGTAGCTGGAGATCACTTGAATATTTTAAAATATCTATCATCAACCTGAGAAGATTAAATTTTGGACCCCCCCCCCCCCATCACCACACACACAAGAAAAATAACTAATAAAAAAATGATAAAAAAATAAAAAGAAATAAAAATGAATATTGTAAAGATTTATTCTTCTTCGTCTGTTATGAAAAAAAACCCATCAAAGAATATCTTTATGACAATTTTTATTATATATATACATAAAAATTAAAATTCGGATTTAGCTTGAAATATTACGTACTATGTGTAATTAGAATAATATGCTATATCACCATAATAAAATAATTTGTTTAGATCCCGAAAAAAATTAACTCAAGTCCCGAATCGTCTTTACCCAAGTCCCGAACCGTCTTGTTGCTAGTCCCGAAACGTCGTATTAGTCAGGTCCCGAAACGTCGTGGTCCCGAAACATCGTGCACCCCACTAATGTATCATTGCTTCAATTTTGATTCTTGGCACCAAGGCAATGGTTTTGTACAAATTTCTACCTAATATAACCATGTATATGTAGATCTTGCTATTGCTTGTAAAATGTGTTGGATTCACGTCATTTACAGTTTGGTATAAGAATCGCAAAAAGACCCAAAATAGGGTGAACTAAATCAACTAAGTCTACTCCTTCTTTGGTGATAAAATCCAAATTGAAAATGATAAACTTTTGATTAATTATTCGGCAGCAACTTAATTATTGAAATTACCTCCCAGGGACATAAATAGATGTTATTTATGACTCTGGTTACACTTAATCTCCCTCCTTTTAAAAAGGGGACACGCCCATTAAATCATACCTCCAACTTTATTTCACATGGCGTTCTATACGAAATGGAGAATAAGTTATCGTTCTTTGATTCCGAATGCGTTACTTCCGGTGTGAGACGGTGATTAGTCGTATTTGAAAAGCTTGAAAAAAATATACAATGGTTGAGGTTTTGTAGTCACTAGAGTAATTTAAAGGTATGTTGTAAGAAACTTAGAATAAGTTTAAAGCATTATGGTTTTTAATTAAAGACTCCTCTTTCGATAATAGGATGTAAAACGAGCCAATTTTCGAATTTAAGATACAGAGGAACATTTCGGATATTGACAATAATCACTCCGTCCAGTGTCTTCACACGTAGTTTGAATTGGGATACTAGTTGTTTGTGGCAGTTAACAGGTTAAAGAGTGAATTGATATTTATAATCTTTTGATTGTAATTGTCTATACAAACATTAATGGAAGTGTCTATCGGCACGACGGTCGTGCCGATTATTTTTGTTATTCGCACGACAGTCGTGCTAATTACAGTTCTTATCCGCACGACACAAGAGAGATAACTCTAACATTATATACATTATCAAATGTAAACTTTTCACCAAAAATTTAATCCAAAGGAAAAGGGATGCACCTAATACACACATGTAGAACTAATTATAACATTCAGTTAAGCAGAATTTGTTTACGTTGAATTTTCTTCGTGAATCGTCGTGACACCGTATAATAAGAATTATTTTTTTATTCGTCCTTTATATCACTCTTAGGTACATGTAACGTACTTCTAACGTTATTTTGACTGGAAATATAAAAAAATATAGCTATTTATTTTCAATAATTTTCTTTCGTCTTTATGGTGTTTACATTCTCTTTCCATAATTTTCCATTTTTTTTCTGGATGGTCTTAACTATTAATTCTCTCTCTCTCTCTCTCTCTCTCTCTCTCTCTCTCTCCTTCCATTATACTGTAGACCTACATTTTTTCTCGTTATATGTGAAAATTTATCACAGCGTACAAGTTTAAAAATCTTTAAGATGTGCAAAGGCAATCCAAAATTCGGATAATTTTCTATCTGCAAATTGAACAGAATTTGTGATTCCGTGGAATTGTGACCCCGTGGAAAAAATAACGTTTACATTACTTCACATAGATATTATAAAATGATGAAAATATTCTGTCGTATTTTCCCTATTTATTTTATCTTAAAATAATTTCTTATTTTAAACAGTAAATCAATTAATTTCTAATATATTCATAGAGGATTTTTTAGTAAATTTATGCATAATTATATACTTTGATCAGTTGATCGTCAACATATATAAAGTTTCGTCTAAACGTTTTCTTATATAAGTACGCTGATCAAACTTGTTAGGAGTTTTTCAAATATACAGGAACATTTAAATTCATTCAAAAATTCTTTAAAATTAATGTGATACGATATAATCCATATCCATAAAAGAAAAGACAAAAAGACACCGAATTTAACTTCAGAGTAGTAAACACTGGTAAATATAAATATTAAAAAAAAAAACAACAACATGGGATAGATTCACATCTTGTCTACTTTATTACAATACTGAGACCGTAATCTTGTGCCCTGTTCACACGGAGAGTTTAATTCGAATTAAACGTAAGTTACTGCGAATTAAATTTGATCCGCGTTCACACGGAGAACTAAATGCGAATTAGTTTAATTTGAATTAGTTTACTGCGCACTAAATTACTTCGCATTAGCTCCGTGTGAACGCTAAGCGAAGCTAATTCGAATTAAATTTTGACGCATGCGTAAGGGCAGAATTAAGTCACAGGCACATGTGGATGGTCAAATATAGGTACTTGTGCTATTTTTGAGTGGAAAACAAAGGAAAATTTTGTTAATCTCTAAAATGTGTAACGTTACAGACACTATAATGACATTGTGTCAAATGATATCTGCTCTGCACAATATTACGTGATTTATAAATGACGTCATAATAGCCTTACTGAATAGCCTTGTTGTAGAAATAAAATTATAATTCGCATTAGTTTACTTCGCATTAGCTATCGTGTGAACGCAATTTAATTCGCATTAGTTTAATTCGCATTACTTTACTTCGCATTAATTTACTGCGAATTAAACTCTCCGTGTGAACAGGGCATTGGATAATTCACGTGTACATGTATCATAGGACACAGACTACCAATTATTATATTGATATTCCTTTATAACATAAAAATTAATTTAAAGAATTTCACTGCCTCAACTCACCTGAAATTTGGCACAGAGCTATAAATATTCAAGTCTAAAAAATTCTGAATCTCAGGAAAATTTGTAGTGTACAAGCCATGCCGTGACACTTCAAATAACCCCTAGATTGCACATATTTCAAATTCCCTTAAAATTTGAGAAGCAGGTTTAAAAAAGGCCTTCTTTATACCCCTCCTAAAAGCAAAGATTCCAAATATATGAATATTGTAATTTTAAAAAAAATTCCAGACATTTTTTTCTATCTAATATCAACCCATTCCACCTCATATACATTCCAGACAATTTTAAAGAAAAAAAAACTCTAGTTTTTTAAATGGCACTACTTGCACAAAATGGGGTAAACTAACCGTCAGTGTCGGACTGTCCTGAAGCTTTTTTTTAATATATAATATAAAATTGAAATTTGGGTGTCGTATTTCGACTGAAAAAGGCCGTTTTATCTTTTTGAAAAACCGTAATCGTAATTATGCCACTGCAAACACTCTAGCTAGCCTTTGAATAAGCTAAGAATTTCTGAAGAGTAAGCATGGTAAGGGATAAGTTCACTTTTCGTGTCTCGTCTAATGTGTAAAATTCGCTTTGAGTTTCTACATACAATAGCAAAACACCGAGTAAAAATTTATTTATATAAATAAAGTATTTGTTGTTCGTATGCGCACGACAAAACAGCATAATCGTTGGTTAGAACATTAAATGAGCATTTGGATTAAAATAATATAAAGTTATAAACAAAAAACAAATTACATGTAATATAAAATTCTTTCAAAGTTTGTCGTGCGAATAGCCTCCGTTATTAGCACGACCGTCGTGCGGATAACTTCAGCAATCGGCACGACAGTCGTGCGGATAACTTCAGTAATCAGCACGACCGTCGTGCGGATAACACTGGTAATTAGCACGACCGTCGTGCGGATAGCCTCGGCCAACATTAATAGCAAAATGGTACGCTGGCCTGCTCTAGACATGCTAAAGATCTCATCAGACTCATGACTTTTTTTTATTAATAGAGAAATGCCCAAAGATTGAATTGTAGTCGAAACAACTTGTAGAATTACACATTCTGATGAGTGATCTCAGGGAGATTTGGTTCGGCTCTTGAAAAATTGATTAGATTGATTCTAATCTACAGTTGTATGTCAAAAAGTTTCAATACATGTACTTGGGTCTTGGTTTATAAATATGTATGTACCTTTATATTGATATGTTAAAAAAGTACTTTTTATTTTTACATATCAATAAGGTACATACATATTTATAAACCTAGACCCAAGTACCTGTGAGTTTCACAGCCAATCTGAATCTCACTCTCACCAGCTAATGCTATTTAGGAGGAACTTAGCCTCAATATGCACATTGGAATCTGTTGCATCAACTGGACAAGCCTTGATCACCAGCGTTTATCTCAACAGTGTTTGAAATAAACTTGAACCTGACTGCCTGAGACACATAAATTTTGCTGCGGGTGAACAAATTTGCTTGTACTGACTTGCTGGACATGTTAAACTGTCCATTACATGTAATTAAAAAATTTACATTCATTTGATAAATTTGTCTCAAACCACTTATTGTACCAGAAACGCAGCGTAATGAGTACTTATAGTCACATAATCACTTTAATAGAAGCCAGCCACAGGCAGACTACATCACGACTCATGTAGTAAAAATTAAATAATTTTTGGAAATAGCAATTTTTTTCTCTTTTTTTTGGGGGGGGGGGGGGGGGCTAGTAGATCTTTGACAGGGCTGATGGCTTTTTTGAGCATCCAGGCATTCAGCCCTGCATGCAGTCCACCTGATTTTACAGTGAGTTTCAAACACTACAAACACTGATCTCGGTTCTTTTTAATTGGTCCTTCAACTATTAAATTCCAGTATTTCTCAACCAGGATTTAACATACTTTTGAACCAAATATTTAGCAGATCTACATGTTAATATTAAAAAAGTTGGAAAATTTGATGAGATCACTGTCATCTCCACTACAAACAGATAAAAGTATCATTTTAAATGTGAGTTTGCTTTAACTAAAGAGTCTAATGATCTTAATATATGACAAATTCACAAACATTTATTTGTCTTTTCTTTGTACCATTTAAGTGAAATGATGGAAATGGCAAAATATCTACTAGGTATCTAATGATGCAACTTCATTTTTCTTCGGTGTACAGTAATTTCTTGATTAGAATACACTGAATATCGATTAATTACTGTAATTCCAGTGTAGCATTTTTTTTCCTGTCTCAATAAACTAATGATGTTTGCTTCATTGTACCTACAGCTGCCAGCCAAATTGTGTGAGGAGAATTTTTGGCTACCATTCACAGACTTTTAGGTATCTTTTATGTTGTTGTCTCTCTCTCTCCCCTCCCCCCTTCTAAAAAATCGTATGTATTTATCTGTTTCTCTTTAGTATTGATATTAATATAAAGAGGTCATATTATAAGTTGCATCAAGATTCAATGAAAATAATAATTCATTTCAAATACTAAAGATTAATTGAGTACTTTTAGTATGTTTATCAAAAATATTTCCATATTGTTGAACTGTTGAACATTATTTTTTCAAAATTAATGAAGTTTTTGAATAAAGATCCAAATTACTTGTTTTTCTCTGCAAAATATTAAATATTGTTGGACATTACAAAGTTTGTACCACTAGATATAAAAATTAAAAGAACTACATTGTAAATGTATTATATTTTTATGTAGTCCAATTTAGGTACCATCTTAGATCATGGCTCCCAACAACCCACTGAACACATGGGGGAACGAGAAAACGATGAACCTGAATCCATTAATTCTAACAAACATCCAGGCATCACCATACTTCAAAGTTAACTTGTACGAGTTAAAAACCTACCATGAGGTCATTGATGAAATTTACTACAAGGTGAGTCAGAGGTAAGACCTTTTCTTTAGGTTGATTAATCTTCGTAAGTGTAATTGATTTCACAAAAAAAATTCTTATACATGTAAATATTAAAAGAATAATTCAGTTTTAAAGTGCAATGAAGTTTAAAAATTTTTATTTTCAATATCATTCTTCACAAAAGATAGTGACAAACAACAAGTCACTCGAGAGTCGATTCTAATTGCTAGGTATGATTTGAATTATGATGTCTTTATAATTTTACCTTATTCAGGTGGATCATTTAGAACCATGGGAAAAAGGAAGTAGGAAGACAGCTGGACAGACAGGGATGTGTGGAGGGGTATGTTAACTTGAGAAAGAATTAAAATACAATAATGCACTTACTGGATAGTTGAGGGTAAAAGCTTCATACAGTAAAACTTGCTGAATCTGACTACAAGTGGTTCCATAAATTTTTGGCAGATTAAATAGAACCCAGATTGGAGAACTATGATTTTTAGATTACTTCTTGTCAAAGAACAGTAATATTTCATCCTACTATTCCCTAAACAACTCAGCACAGACAGTATTTAAAGTGACAGAAAAAAATCATACTAGAGACAAACTGATCATTAAAGCAAACTAGGTTATCTCTTAGTTATTCTCAGTTTTGCACACATATGAGATATTATTTGAACATTTAAAAGTACAGCAAACTCATTTATTGCTCCTCAGCACTAGCACAGTTATACATGGTTATAATGAACATACCTATAATGAATTCACGCTTACAGCCAAGTGATTTTCATTCCCCATGGTTTTAAAACGTATTGTAAACTTAACAGATATAAAGAATTATGTCTATAACCAATCAAAATTGTTTGTCCTGGCACTTCGCTATAAGTTTTACTGTGGTTCACTTTATTTACGTTACTTTGTTTGAAAGGTGAATATAAGCAAAGAAATGGATCAAATGAAAATTTACACAGTCTTTTTTGTATAGAAATCAACATTCCTGCTGTGTGCATTATTTCTACAAAAAGTCAATGTTTTGTTTTTACATTTGTGTTACAGGTAAGAGGAGTAGGTGCAGGTGGAATAGTTTCGAGTGCATACTGTCTACTGTACAAATTGTACACACTGAAACTAACACGCAAACAGCTGATGGGATTAATTACCCACAAGGATTCACCATATATTCGGGGCCTGGGATTCATGTACATCAGGTTTGTTCTTGGTGCTTTAATTGTTTACAGTGCCAGGTTACCCAGACTAGATAACTTTTATACAGAACTGAGAAGTCATAATTCCCCATTAAAGTTTTTAGAAAAAATCTCTAAAAATCATAATTTGAAATCTGGCTAAGAAATTTTGAATATGCATATTACACAATATTTTTAAAGATGAATGTGACCCTGGTTTTTGTATCTTAGATACTGCCAGGACCCAAAGGAGATGTGGGACTGGTACGAGCCTTACCTGGATGATGAGGAGGTATGAAAGGACAGCTTGTCTGCCAAAAACCGGGTAATGTACCAGAAACAGAATTTCCTACTTTCACTTTCAAAATCACTTGACTCAATTTATTTCAAACAAGCATTTACAAGATATTTTTTACTTAATCAGTATAGAGTTATTACAAAGTAGGAAATCTGTTTCATAACTTTTTCTACTAATGACTTAAAATGATGTAAAAATCTTTATTTTGCTGTACTTTTTGCTTTGACTACTATTTGTATACTACAGGGTGTTAGCTCTAGTCTCTGCGGTGTAGAGGCCTGATACCAGATTACAGCGTTCGTCCCAAAGAGGTTAAGATATTCAGCATACCTTGTTATAAATGTTCATGCATATGTGGTATTTTGAATTGTTTGTAGAATGTGCAAAGTTTCAGTCATCTCATATTTAGGTCAATCTTGTACCCCACAATGTTGCATGAATAGGGTTCATTTATTTGTTTCGCATGTCCCCAAATTCGAAAAATTTTACTCTCCAAAGAATTGAATCATTGTATGAAATTTCTGGGAAAGGAAAAACACTATACATGCAACATGATGGAACATGCGGAATGAAATTCTCAAGTATTTGCATCCATGTTTTCAATCTGAATACAAAATGCAGTTTACTATAATGCAGTTATACTAATATGGCACATTAATTGTTGTGTAGGTGAACTGTTCACTTGGAAACATATTTCAAGAAATATCTTGGTTTTGTACAAATACTTCATAGTATTTTCTATTATAATGATAATAAGATTAAAAAAGATTTATGGTGAAAATTATTAACTTCATATTCCATTTTCTTTGTGCAAGAGTCTAGAGCAACACCTGCCAATTGTATCCATGTGATGTAATTCAGATTCAAGTTTTGTCCCTGAATTTTTGCAGGAAATAGATGTGAAAGCGGGAGGTGGACACAAAATGACAATTGGGGAGGTACTCCGCCAGTGGATGGTAAAACTGGAATGGTACTGCACACTGTTTCCCAGGATTCCTGTCCCTGTGCAGAAGGACATCATGCAAAAATTGAAGGAGAGGCCACCCCAGGCTCCCACCTATGAGGAGGAGGAGGAAGAGGAACAGGAGGACCACAGGAGGCCGAGGCACATTCCTGATGGGGAAGTCTCATTTGGTGAAGCTGAAAGAAATCTTCATCGCAGAAATAGGTATCTTGACAAATTTCATAACTGAACAATATGTTACTTTTCTCTGTTTACTCAATGTTCAAGTAGATGATAGCAGTGTAATGATTTGGGAGAGGTTATCAACTTTGATATTGTTTTTTTGCTAGATCACCTGACTACAGACATACACCTCCAAGACGAACTCCCCCCAGAAGAAGGTCAAGGTCCCCTCGAAGGCATCGATCTAGATCACCTGTCCGAGCAAGATCAAGGTCCCCTAGAAGACATCGATCTAGGTCACCCTATAGACGAAGAAGCCCACCAAGATATTCACAGTCTAGAAGAAGGTCACGGTCACCTAGGCGGTCAAGGTCACCTCGGAATGATTTTGCCAGGGAGCTTGAGAGAGAGCGTCGCAGACAGGAGAGAGATAAAAGAAATGACAGATCAAGGAGTAGGGAAAGGCAGAGGAGCCACAGATCAAGAAGCAAAGAAAGACCTAAGCATCGTTCAAGAAGCAAAGAAAGGTCACAGCATCAGTCACGGTCCAGGAGCAAAGAAAGAATACAGGCAAGGTCACAGCGATCAAGGTCAGGATCCAGAGAGAAAAAGAAAAAGAAAGAAAAAAAGCACAAGCATAGATCCAAGTCCAAAGAGCATAATTCTAAGCATAAATCACACTCGAAACATCATAGGGATATTGATGAAGCCTCACCAGACAGAGAGAAAGTTGATACAAGGAATGATTCCTAATCTGGTCTGGTTGGAGTAGCTATAAATGGATGCCTTAAACTTTTTAGCTCACCTGAGCCGAAGGCTCAAGTGAGCTTTTCTGATCACATTTTGTCCGTCGTCCGTCCGTCTGTCAGTCCGTCCGTCCGTCTGTAAACTTTTCACATTTTTGACTTCTTCTCAAGAACCACTGGGCCAATTTTGACCAAACTTGATACAAAGCATCCTTGGGTGAAGGGGAATTTAAATTGTTTAAATGAAGGGCCAAGTCCCCTCACAAGGGGAGATAATCAAGAGAAGACAAAAATAGGGTGGGGTCATTAAAAAATCTTCTTCTCAAGAACCACAGGGCCAGTAAAGCTGAAACTTATATGGAAGCATCCTGGGGTAGTGTAGATTCTAAATTATTCAAATCATGACCCCTGGGGGTAGGGCGGGGCCACAATGTGGAATCAATGTTTTACATAGAAATATATAGAAAAAAATCTTTAAAAATCTTCTCAAGAACCATTGGGCCAGAAAAGCTGAAACTAATGTGGAAGCATCTAGGGGTAGTGTAGATTCTAAATTGTTAAAATCCTGACCCCAGGGGGTAGGGCGGGGCCACAATGGGGAATCCAAGTTTTACATTGAAATATATAGAAAAAATCTTTAAAAATCTTCTTCTCAAGAACCACTGGGCCAGAAAAGCTGAAACTAATGTGGAAGCATCTTGGGTTAGTGTAGATTCTAAATTGTTAAAATCATGACCCCCATGGGGTAGGGCGGGGCCACAATAGGGAATCCAAGTTTTACATTGAAATATATAGAAACAATCTTTAAAAATCTTCTTCTCAAGAACCACAGGGCCAGAAAAGCTGAAACTAATGTAGAAGTATCCTGGGGTAGTGTAGATATAAATTGTTAAAAGCATGGCCCCCAGGGGTAGGGTGGGGCCACAATAGGGAATCCAAGTTTTACATTGAAATATATAGAAAAAATCTTTAAAAATCTTCTTCTCAAGAACCACTGGGCCAGAAAAGCTGAAACTAATGTAGAAGTATCCTGGGGTAGTGTAGATTCTAAAATGTTAAAATCATGACCCCTGGGATAGGATGGGACCACAATAGGTGTATTACATGGGGGAAAGTCTGGTGAAGAACAGCAGGGCCAAAGTTACTCAGGTGAGCGTTGTGGCCCATGGGCCTCTTGTTTTCACTGTGGTCTCATATTCTTTACATGTGCATTGTATATCATATAAAAAAGACAAAGAAGGGATCAAAACTGTGTAATACATTTTCATGTGTGCTTGTCATTTTTCTTCATCATGTTAAAAAAATTTACTCGATTAGTATTATTCGCAGATGTGTATAGTTCAGTTTAAGAGTGGATCTTAAAGGTATCATTTCAGTGTTTGATGTTGGAGAAAAAAAGTGTTTCTCTTATTATCCCAAGGTACCACTCAAATTTTAATTAAAAACGAATGTCATTTTCTTATTTCATGTTATCAAATGGTAGATATTGCAAATATCTTGATTTCTGTTGAGATTTTTTACTATTTTAAGCATGAAGTGTGCTGCAGCTGTATGTGGCAATGTCCGATATAATAAATATTAACATGTTTTTTCTCAAATATCTGTTGGTCATACATGAGTTCAACATTTAAAAATATTGTTTTGTTTGAAACAGTTTACAAGGTTTCATATGTGCCGATACAGGGAGTTCATTTTATTGTGAATCATTATAGATTTTAGATGGATATGTTTTTTTTTTAAAAATAAAAGCATTCAGAAAGTTAATCTCTTGAATCATCAGTTCTATGGATTGTACGTTCAGTAGAAGCAATTTGGACTTATTGCAACACCACTATGCTTATTATGTAAACGAAATCACCATTGGAATATACCTATGAGCAAGAAGAGAAAAGATTATAAATTTTCATAGAAATATCTACCAGTATATGGATACCCATTGGATCCATTGCTTATTCTGTCAAATTGCTGTGGGTTTAGACTTGGCTTGTTGTTAAATGACAAAGAAAGGAGCAATATCTGCTTGAGAAAAATCTTTAAATCTGCCCAATATGGAGAATGTTACAGCAACAGTGAATTTGCCAATAAATTACTAGTACATGTAAGTTGGTGGAAGTGGGGGGGGGGGCACTTTTTTTGCTTTACTTGGCCTGTTCAAAGTCTTTAAATTTTCAAGAAAAAAAAATCAGCTTAATGAATTCATTTATTTTTATCATTTTAAAAATACAGAAAAGACGTTCTGATAGAAATTGATGCCTGAAACATAACCCCTGGCCATTCTCCCAGGACTGAATGTGATCAAGATCATAATGCATCTATCATCATGGTTGACAGCATGAAGAGTTACCAGTCCACTAAATATTTTAACATTTGAAAGATTTGTGAACTGAAAACCTCTCATTGCAGCATGATTTTTAACTTGGGAACATTAATATCAACATTTTGAACCTCAAAATTACAATACCGTATATCCAATCTTTGGGCATGTGCTACAAAGTCTGTTTCCCAAGTTATACATACTCTGGACAAAAGTTTTGACATATTGCACTATATGTAACTTTCAGTAAAGACCATAACAGTCTTAGGTCGTGTGCAACATAGCAAGTTAGAATAACTTCTTATATTAAGAATTAAAAGTCGTCATCTCTGATCCATGAATATAACATCTCAACTAAGGTCAGTCCATCTTGCACAATTCCATTCCATGCTATAATATTGAAACCTTTCACTGGAATGAAAGAAACTAAATTTGGTGACAGTGAATCAAATTGTGTTGCCATTTTATGCCTGTATCCTTCGAAGGAATTTAGATATATTACTGCTCCTGAATGACAAGAGATTCTTCAACCCTTGTCAAAGTTTGGGGAAAGACATGATAAAACAATAAATAACAATTTCATATTAATATTTATTATAACATTACAATTATTGCATTTTGTGGGAAATTCCTACATAAGTCCTTTATCATGTACTGTTTAGGCTTCATTTAACCACACTGTTTTGAGTTGTTAGGTTCCATATTCATTCATTTCTTAGAGTACGTGTATTAAAATAGACATATAATAAATGCATGTTCGTTTTTGACATATAATTTCCAACTTGCCCACCCTCTATCATCACTATGACTAAAATGTTTAAATTCTTCATATCATAGATCCAGCTATGTTTTAAGTTTCATTTGATGGAGGGGTAAGAGCATTTTGTTGCTGACAAAATAACATGTACTTGCTTTCCTTGATGAAACTTTTTAAAAAATAAACAAGGAACAAAGTAATGAAAGAAATTAACAATGAACAGAAAATTAAGATTATATAACTTGTGGGTGCTGCCACTTTGTATATACCTTAATTGCTGTAGTTTTAAATACTTGAATCTCTTTCCAAAGTAGTACATGTAATTCTAAATAAACTTCACAGATCATAAAAAAAAAATCAGTTAATCTACTAAATTAAAATATATGCCAAACAGACAGATTATTTGAAGAAAAACATTTCTTTTGTCCAACTATCACCAAAACATGCAATTTGATTGGATTTCTAAATATTATTAAGAAAAAATCGAGCACCTGTGTCTTCAACATATGCATAAAAATATACATGTAAAAAAAAAATAGCAAACAGTATTATAAGTTATAAAATATTGATGTATACAAACTTGGAACACATTAATTCCAAAATTTCTGAACTGTAAAATAATTTTAATTAAATTAATCATCAGCAGTTAATAAAAATAAACCATTGGTGGGTTTCGAAAAGATATACCTCACATTATAAAAAAATTAACCATCAGTGGGTCTCGAAAAGATTACTTGACATGCATTAAAAATAACCATTGGTGGGTTTCGAAAAGATATATCTCTACTGACTAGACAGAATTTCCGTTAAATTCAAATTACTGGCTATACAAGTGTATATAGCTTCTGTTTAGTCACAGAGCATTTAGGATACTTATCACAACCATACAGAACATATATATATATATATAAACATGTAAAGTCTAAGACGTACATTGACATATAATCATAGCCATTTCGTATGTCAGTCAAAACCAGCATCGTGGTTAAAACTCTCCAAAGAACAAAATACTGTACATTTTAATGTGCATCTCAGACAGTTTTCATTAAAAAAACTTGATAAATACCTTGTGCTCTATATAAATCACCCTGTCACATTAAAAACAAGAAGCCTGTGGGCAACAGTGCTCACCTGAGTCACATACACACTGCACTCTTTCTGAATCAAAGCTCATCTATATATTCAAATGTAGAATTTTTTAGCCTTCTATCGTGGGCCATCTTAATTTATAGAGGTCTTTGGCCCAAACAAAAACAAATCTGAAAATAATGTGAAAAAAATGAATCTTCACTACACATGTAGTCATGTATATCAAAGCCCTTACATATAAAGTTTAGTCTTTTTTCAGACCGATGCAATATACTATAGAATACTTTCAAACAATTCCACTCTAATTTCATGATTTATAATCTCTTCCCCTTTGAATGAAAAATTTGCCTTTCTTTGAATATATTATTTGTTTTAAATTGACCCCGTGTTTGTCCCAAAGAAGATGAAAATATTAAAAGTTTACAGACCACACACAAAATATGATCAGTAAATCTCATTTGACCCTTTGGCTCAGGTGAGCTAAAAATATCCCAGCAAGTACTTTGATGTCTGTACTATCAGTCAGTATCTGAAAAAAATGACATCCAGAACAGTGATGTTATAGTATAGATTATTGATTTGCAATTGATAAATAAAGTTTCTATATGTACATTTAGTTCTGATCTGTGACATCAATAAACAATATAAACTCTTCATATCACCATTTACTAGTATATAATTCTTGTGATTGCTATGTAGTCTTTTTTCTGTTCAGATTGATTACCATGTACAAGTTAATTTACTGACATAGAAAGATTTCCTTGATTTTTATTACCTGTCGAATTTTATGCATACCCATGTCATCTAACAAATACTTTTCTGGTATTTTACATCAATACAAAAAGCAAACCTCCATCTCATTATTAAAATACAAAAAAAAAAAATTATACATGTATACTGTATTTCCATGGAACATTTTACAAACATGGTACTACCAAAACGTAGACCAATGAAGAAATACTGGTAAAACTTACTTTTTAATCTAACATTGAGAGAATTAAGATATGATAAACAACACACAAGTTAAATTTCACAACATATAAACTGATGATGAAATCTACACCTGCATAGATATGCTGCAAAAGGTACCATCTTGTAACCTATACAAAAGACATCATGAAATTTTTCAAAAAAATTATAAGCTTTTGCGAGGAGTTAACAATGAATGTATTAGTTACAATGACAAGAGAGACAGAAATGGGAATTCTTGAACACTGACATTCTTCATGTGCATGGCAGCCATTGTTCATTAATATTGCACATAATGTTGCAATGCTGAAGCAGCTTGCAAACTTTTTCCTCTTTCTTTTTTCCAAAGATTTCAAACCTGTGTGATTTTACTCACTTTCCAGTATTGTACCGTAGATATGACATAATTATATTGATCAATTACTGCTACACCATATATTGCACACAAAAAAAATAGCTGCAGATAATGAACTGTGAAACCAGAGCATGATTGCACCAAAATTACACCTGCTTCCTCAATAGACAAAGTATGAACGAATTAGAGACTCCAGTTTTTGAGTTTCCGCCGGCCTCGCTTCCTGTGCTGTATGCGAGCCTCGTGGTCCTGTTTGGTTCTCACTACAAACACCGGTTCAGAACCACCACTATTGTTCATGGCATAAAACACATTCACTTTTTCTGGAATTAATAATTCTGTAAAAAAAAAATTATAAAACAATAAACTACAAAATATAATGGTACTTCAAATGTTTAAAATTACAATGAAATATTGTAGAGGTACTTTTTTTCTGTGTGGTATTAATTTATGCTATGCACGCGGTCACGATTTTCTGCAGAAATTTGTCCAGGCGTATTTAAAGTATATTTAAGGCATATGGTGGCAATTTAAGAAATCTACCAGTACATAATTTTCTACCCCTGGATTTGAACATAAATTGTAATTCCGTTGAATTATGACTCCACTGAAAAAAGTACATTTACAGTAATTAACTTGTACAACTACAATTTCCATCATACATTCAAGATAATTAAAAAAATAAAGAATACATGTTCATTTATCTCCCATTGCTTTTAGGTAAAAATCAATTAACATTATACACTTTTTTTTCAGAACCTTGATTTAGGTTCTTGTAAGCTGATGTAGAGTTACCTCCCCAGAACCTACCTCCATCAGACAGGACTTGCAGAAGACAGTAATTACTGGACGGACCTTTTTTAGAGTATTTGTCCAATACTTTATCTATCACAGTGTGTGTGTGATCTGCATTCTTTAACTGAAATCCAAGAACAAAACTTTAATACTAACACTACTAATTTACTAACTTGAAATGCAATTTTCTTCAATATTTTTCCTTTTTTAACCTTGATTTTTTTTTTTTACAATATGGAATTCTTTCCAATAGTAATAGAGTTTTATCAATTTGGGTGGGTCCATTTGACTTCACATTTGACCTCAAAGACATATTCATCAGTTACTTTTTAAAGTCACAAATCAAAGGTGAAGGTCACTCTTATCTACAGATAAGTCTGTACAAAAACCAACATACTGTATTTTATTATTATACTGCATTTTATTTAACAGAAACTTTTTCATGTCATTACTAGACCCCTACGTACTGGTATTTCAAAAATTATTAAAAAAAAAAAAAAAAAAAAAAAAAAAAAATTAACAGCAACTGAAATATTCATATTTGGGTTGAATATTCCCATTTTAAAAATGACAATTTCTCACCATTATACTTTTGTAGACATGAGTATCTGATTCAGGTCCCGACTCGAAGCGGACTTTAATGACACAGGTGTCAGAAGATCGGAATGGTGACGACACGGTTGTGTCACTGTCACATGACAGAAGGGAGGAAGTGGAGGAGGAGTGGGACATCTAAATATAGAGACAATTAAGTATTATTTATCCAAATATAGAAATAACTTCCCCCAAAATACCAAAAATAGAAGTAGCTCAAGGAAGACATAATCAAAATAGAGAATGGTTGAAGGAATTGAAGAGCACCTGCTAGTTACCACTTAGGAGTGCTCAATATTATACAATCTTAATGAATTATTAATAGACTGAGTTTGTAGTAAAGAATTTTCAATGGCCATCTAATCATAAATTGAATAGTTTCAATGACAGGAAACTCTCAAACCACTAGGTTTTTTCATCTTAAATTTACCAATCATAAATGAAATTCTTTCAAAACTCAGCTAGGCCACACTATATACTTGCATAAGAGATATGGTATAACAGGGTTTTTTTTTCTGTGAATCACAATTTTTCAAAATATTCCAAAACACAGACTTAATTTGCAAATTCCTATTTTTGCATTATTCTCCCAGTGGTTTATTAAGAGTAATCCATGTACCACGTAATCTATAGAGTAACAACTGGTGACAATTTTTATGCAAAGAATGTTGGGGTGATTAGCCGAGCCATATGTCCATGCCTGTTTTTTGGTATGCAAGTATGTGTATCGGAAATTTCTCAATCTTACGATGCTGTAAAAAAATGATGATACATATATCTAGATTCTTAACAAGAACACTTGACATTGCATTTTCTACAGAACATTTAACATGGGTTGTGCTTCTCATTCTGTATACTGAGTATTAATATGTACCGTGTAGGTATTAAGTATATGTTTAATGAGAGTGTTGAGATTTTAGTGGTGAAGCACTTGTAGTAAAAATAAATACCCATGAAATTTTAATATGTAGGCCTATTCTCTAAATAAGAGGCCCATGGGATACAATGCTCACCTGAGTCACAATGGGCCTGGTTTTCTTCAGAACATTGACCCCATTCTAGCCCCAGGGGCGATGACTTGAACAAACCCATGGGGATTTTAATATGTATTATATTTATCCTACTCTCTACACAAGAGGCCCATGGGTAACAATGCTCATCTGATCGAGTCACAATGGCTCTGCTTTTCTTCAGAACATTGGCCCCATTCTAGCCCCAGGGGCCATAATATGAACAAACTTTTAAAAATCTTCACTACCTGAGGATGCTTGCATATTAATATGACTAATCATGATGATACTGTTTTAAAAGAAGATATTTTTCTTTGATTTTCTATTACGGCCCCACTGATCCTACCTATCACTAATCATGGTCCTGCTATATCTGAAGAGAAAATTAAAATTAAATATGTCAGTTTTTGTGTTAATTTAGTGTTTGTGTTCTGCTATTTCAATTTGGTGTGTTAATCATAATCAATTTTGAAGTCACCTTATTCAGTTATTGTCAATTTTGTATTCATATGTTAATACATCTTCGCTAGCCAAGGGTTTCTGATACACTACTCTCCTCATAAACCCTTGGCATACGGTGCTGACAAAAGACGGGATTGTTTTTGTCACGTGATCATGATTCTTACCAGGTAAGCACAGATTGCGTCATCGACAGAAATAAAAAGTGTATTTAAAAAAATTTTGTTTTTAAAGAATAATTAACAAGAAGGTATTGAGTTATGTTAATTTGTTATTTAAACATGTAAAAATGCAAATCTACATCTTCAGTATAGATTCTTAATCACATATTTTGCACGTTGCTTTAGAAATTGGATGACACTATATTGCTATTCATAGAATGGCATGTTATCTTACGGATCATTGTTTACTTGCGTTTTACATTACCGATATTAAAGAGTCAAGATATATCCCGAACGCAAATATCGTCATTTACAAAAAACAATTGCTGATTGGTCGAACGATGTCGATCAACTCCAATCACAACTTGAGAAAAAAATCCCAACTTTTTTTAACACCGTATGCCAAGGGCTTATGAGGAGAGTAGCGTATCAGAAGCCCTTGGATAGCGAAGATGATGTTAATAAACAGTTCAAAAAATTTTAAGAAAAAGTGAAATTTGTGAGAAATATATTCCTTGATTTCTTTATCTGACTAGCTGACATATGGTTCAGCTAAACCCCCTAGATTCTTTATTTTTTCCACAATTTAAAAATGCTCACAAAGAAAGCGAAAATTTGAATATAGCAAAACAAAACCAAAAAAATTACATGGTACAACTTCTCCATAGCTAATAGTTCTCTGAATTATTGATTTAATAAATGTGTTGTTAAAAAAAGGTACTTACCCCTTGTGAGGGAGAGGCAGGTGAATCTAGGTTAGAACTACAGACACTGGAATTATCCAGACCACAACTCAACAGGGATAGCTTACTGCCCTCATGACGAGGCGGGCGGGTACCCAAACTGTGGGGAGAGGAGAAAACCAAGAGTTAAAATTACTGACTATGGAATTATCCAGACCACAACTCAACAGAGAGGGAGTAAGTGCCCTCATAATGAGGCGGGCAGGTACCCAAACTGTGGGGGGAGAAGAAAATCAAAAGTTAAATTTACCAAATTACAGACTAGAATTCACTTCTTTAATTTTCCACTATAAGTAAAATTATAAAGTGAGTAAGACTTATAGTTCTATTCCATACATCTTACAATGACATTACTTATTTCATCATTTGGTATTTCAATTGAGAATACTATTGCTGTAAATACATACAAATACAATACTGTTAAAAAATCACAGAAGAGAAATTCATAATGCTGACTTAAAGATAGATGTGTATCAATTACACATGCATATAAACTTGAAAATTATACAAGTGAATTGATTTATAAGCTAGAAGTCTGTAATGTACATGTATATGAATATTTCTAGCATGATATATGAACATGTACATGTATGTATAAAGGAACTGCCTTAACTTGCAGCATAAAGAACTTTGAAGACTTGCAAAAATAGTATTCAGATTGTAAAGACAATAAATGTTGTTAGCTAGTGTCACTGTCAAATATTTGAACTTGCTTTGTTGTTGAACGATAAATTAGTCTAAAAACAAAAACATTTTTTCAATTCACATATAATAAATACAGATTGGTATCAAGTTGCCAACAAAATCATATGATACAGTACTCTCCTTAGAAATGTGTAAGTGTTCAACAGAAGACAATGGCATGCAATTATAATCCCCAAAATGTTTATATTAAACCTTTTACCATATTTTCAGTGATGTCAGAACAATGAAACAGAACTTGTGTGAAAACGTTTAATTTTCTATCAGATGTTGCTATTCTTTTGTTACACCCCATTAATGGTAATTTCTGCTTCTAAATCTTTTAAATAATTTTATTATTTTGAAATTTCAACTTAAAAGTTCTGCATTAACAATTTCTGGAAGACATCTGTGGGTACCAAAAATACAGGTTTGGAATATCTCGTGATTTAATTCTTGGGGGATTTTGATAAAACCCGAAAACTTGAATAGCTGCAGAAATTACCCATTACCGTACATGGTAAGTAGTGTGTATACAGTGACAGTTTGCAGAAAGAAATGCCTACTTACTTATCACCATATTTGACAACTTTGAGCAAACTTGAATAACTGGAAGACATTCAATCTTAAATGTGAGTGTTTCATGACAAATAAATCATTCAATTTATAACTTTCCAATGCAAATGGAATCACAACACCCAAATACTGGGATTATTTTCCCCAATAATTTGAGTATATATATTTACCTTGCTGATTTCTTCTTTAAACGACCAGGACCTTCTTTGACGGGTTCAATCAAACAAGACATGTCATGGCTAAAAGCAAATATCAATTAAATTAGATTTTTGAAGAAAACTGACCTTTCTAAAATCAAAGGCAAAAATAATAAATATCACATTTGTGTTAAAACTATACAACCATCAGAGAATTATTATTTTATTCCTTGAACTACTTTAGTGATCAATTAGCTTTTAATACTGTAGAATCAACATTGTTCATGGAAGACCAATGTTCATAGATTTCGTGGGTCAGTCTTCCCATGAATTTATATCCCCACTAATGCTAAGTTGTGAATGTATCGGTTCATTTAATATTCTGTAACATCCCCACAAACCAGTAAAATTTTGATTGCCCATGAACATTTAATCCCACGAATCAAAATGATTCCACAGTACTAGTTTACAGACATTTGAATAGAAAATCAAAGTTACCATTCACTTTCATCATACACCCGCACAGAATCAAACCAGGACCAAATTTGTGTGTTTTCCTGAAAGTTATAAATCTGGGCCGCTGATTGTAGAAGTTTGATCTGAGCTAGCACCTCGAACTCTTTCCTCCGCTTTTCAAAGTTTATCAGTCCACACTCTGTGCGGTCCGGAATAGCTGTGTCTATCATGGTAAGATCTGTCAGGAAGGTCCCTAGGTATGGGACAGTACCTTGTACTATTCCCTACAAAAGGAACAAGGCTGATTACAAAAGTACACCAAACAATTTCATCTAAAAAAAATTCCTTTATAAATTTGTTTGTTTTTAGCATTATCTAGGATATGCTTTGAAGCCAGTGAGTCAATAAATCTTTCTGTGATCACCAGCTTTATTTAGTATATTTCTGACAGTTTCATCTCCATGTTTAATGTTCATGACAATTGCAATCAGATGACTGTATATTGTACCCAGTAACTCCTTAATCACTTTCTCTTTTAGAATCAAGTAAATAAATAAATGCTAATGTTTAGCTTTCCTGACAAGATGAGACACCAATAATGTGATTAAATTCTCATTACATAATGTATTGCAACATTCAGCTGTTATCTCGATCTGTCAATTTATTTTCAGACTCTTACTTACGTTTTCTATCCAGGACCTGCGTTTTTGTAGATTGCGTCTCCGCAGTATCTTATTGTTGGAATCGAGATCAGGAAACTTAGCCGTGGCCTCCTGAAGATGACAAAACGCAGGTACAGCAGATCACAAAAATATGATAAAAAGAAATTTCAACTCTTAACAGATAAAAAGCAATGACCTTGGCGTACAAAACACATCTTACTTTCATGAGTAATTCTCGAGATAAAATCTGGTTATTGTCGTTGCTAAAGATGTCTGCCAACTCTTGAAATAAATCTATGCTTTCTCTGTAAGACAGACAAATGAAATATTTCAACTTCACCTGCTAATCTGCATGTGCAGCACTTTTAGGAGATTCTAAAGATTGTATTGGGTTACTGTAAAAACTCACAATTGCCAATCTCAGTGGCAATCAGAAATTTTAAGTACACTGAGGTCATCCACAGTGGAAAGCGCTCTGCAGACACCAAATTTGTTAGGATGACACATAAACACAAAATCTAAAAGCAATGGATTACCATTTATCTATTTCCCTCTGCATGTGTCCTATTCCCAGAAGGAAAATTCAATCTCAATTTTGAACAGAAAAACTCATAAGGATATTAGGTTTTATGAATATAGATTAATTTTTACCATTGTGAGTGTTGGCAAATTAATATCTAGAGGACAGTGATCACTTACTTAGGAAGTGAGGCCCAAGTTCTTTTCAGTCGATACACAGAATGAGACTGGAGTCCAGATATAATGGCTTTCAAAGAGGAAAAGTTTTTCTGCTGTCTTAACTCCTATATTAATATAAATATGCACCAATAAAATCTACATGTATGTATCAATTATCGTCTACATGACCCTAATTTATGCATCCTAGGTTTGTTTGACTTACCTGGGCAATATCAATCCATTTCTGGAGGATTTTTGCCCTCTGTGAGGACTTGAGGTCCCTGGTTCTCAGGATGGTGGCTATTACCCGTAATGACACCCTGTTGAACTGTTCAATGGTGGCCAATACACTGGGGGCTATCGTTCCACCTTTACCCAGCTTCCTGTCCCTCCTTGCCCACACAGCCCCCAGACAATGATGGGGTATGACCCTTTTAAATAATTCCTAAAAAGGGATATAATTATACATTTAATGGTAATATGCTAGTGAAGTACATGTACATATATTACAGTAAACACAGTTGTAGCAAACTTCAACAGCAGTCCCAACTGCTAGCTTCTCTCTGCAATATGATATAACATCAATTTTTCAACAACATCTATTAAATATGCATTTTTTCTTACATTGACCTTGCACGATATTAAGATGATAATTCTGATTGACTTAGTGGTGGGAATGGGTGGGGTGGTGGTCTCTTCCACAATTACTTACCGCGTCTTTGTATGTGAGTTGCTCAGCCAGTCGTTGATTGGGTATGTCTAGAAATTCTAATGGCTTCTGGTACTCGGCATCAATCATGTGATCAACTTCATCCACAATGGAGAACTGAAACTTTATGCCTCCATCTGCAGGTGTGTGGACAAAATATCAGATTACTGCACACAAATTACAAATGCAAAGCATGTGTTATTTTGTCTTTTTTACTGTTATATAAAATAATTCAAGAAAACATAAAAAAGCCAAATTATATTCATATGTTTTATACATATATTACATAAATACCTGATTTGGACACAGCCTCTCTTTGAAATTTTTCTATTTTGTGCCGAGCTCTCAGTTCAAGGTCACTGTCAGGTATATATTGATGCGAGAATGACTCTAATACTGTAAGACATGTATAGTCTGGGTGATCTCGGAAATCATCAGGGTACGTATCCATCCACACTGATATCACATTCTTGAACGTCCTACATAAAAGAACAATTAATTTACCTTTAATCAATAAAAAGATTTCCCAAAAAAAGGAAATATTTTTTTCATCCAAATTGGGCAAGTTAAATGATATGAAAATCTCACTTTTGTTGGTTTTCATTGTTTTCTTTTCTCTCCTTGTGTTCACTGCTGTCCTTTTCTAGCCATTTATATCTATAATACACAGTCATTTATAATTACAATAAACCAACATTTAAAATTTAAGAATAGTTAGAACACTATGTTCATGTAGTAAGAACACAGCTGTCTCCCCTATCCATATCTTTTCTATTGTCATAAATATAGAACACATGACCTTGATATAAAGTTAAAAGGCACCTTTACATCATGGATAACAATAAACTAAACTTTGAATTCCAAACAAAATATTTAAGTTGGAGTTCAGAGACTGTTTCAACTTTTCACTGTCTTTGACCTTGAGTCAAGAACATGATAAAATTTTCAAGTTTAAAAGTTTGAATTTGTTTTATTCATTAAAGGAATATGATTTCAAAATCTCACTGCATATGACCTTGAAACCAAGGTCAAGACCTTAAGTTGGGATTTTCACATACTCAGTAATCTTTAGACATTGATTAATAATACAGTATAGAAGTTTAACGGCCTCAGGCAAACAGTTTGGTTCTTGGGTCGGACAAAGTTATAGATGGTCATTTGTTTTTATACATGGATTTGTCTTCTACTAGGGGAGGGGGAGGGTGAATTATTACAACTTTAACACTACCATTACTGGTAATTATGACTTTGACTATCCTGAAAAGTAAGGAAAGTATTTTTGTGTGCCAATCTGTTGATTAACAGAAAAAATCTTTCATTTTATAGAAAATCTGCATGCTCCCGATCCGCCAAGCACCCACCTTTTGATAAGAATTTCCAGAACCTGCTTAGGGGTAGCAAAGGTCCTGTAGGTGGCAAGGAAGATGTTGACATATGTTGAGTCAAGCTCCCCCTTAACTGTGACCAAACTTTCAACAAGTTTTTCTAGAGTACCAGCTTTGATGACTCTGATCTTTTGGGTCTCCCACATCAAATGGCCCTTGGAATGGTCCAACTGAAAATGTTAAAAACAAAAGGTCCAATAGTTTCGTTTATTTTATTAAACATTTGTACACATATTGTCGCAAAAGTGGTTGGGAGTTAATACTATATTTTTGCATGTAAATTTAATTTGGTGGTTGGTCAGTCAACTTCCTGTTTGAATAGGCTGGCAATAGCGGTATATTGCTCTATGAGCAATGAGCCCGGCTAAAAATAAACCACCATTAAATCCATATGTTTGTTTACAATTCATATTCCTATAGTCTCCAATTCTACTTTCTATTAATAATGACCTGAGTATTATATGATCAAAATAAAAAAACTCTCATCTACATTAGATTTATATCATCAAAGAAATATGTTTTACATTGGACTTAAGTTATTTCACTGTCTATGTAGTTGGGCAGATCTTTCAAACATGAACTAACGAAGTCAGAAAACATCAACTGTTTCCCCAATTGAAGTGTGTCTATGGTAAACACCTAGCCACCCACCAGATCAAGAGCAGATGATCTGATAAACAAGGCAGCCATCGGCCCCAGGTTGATCTGGTGCGGCTCCTCTATCAAAAGTTTACCAAGAAGCTGTGGTTGCACAGAAGCAGATTAATCACATTAAAAAAACATCCTAAACATAACATTAGCCTGCAAGACATTTGCACAACTAAAAAACTTTATTAGCACACCTGTCTCCGAACTTAAAAATACAAATTTTATTCTTCCCAACTGGTTTTAAATGTATTTTTTCTGTTTTCCCACATATCCATAAGTAGTTCCATATAAAGTAAAGTATATTTTTTTAAATTTTCAAATATTTTTTTAAAGCTAGGTTGTACATGTAAACACCTGTTGATATCGGTACGAGACCAAAACATAAGGAAATATTAATTATAATTTATGCAGTTCTCTCATGAGATCACATTAAGCTGAATAGGTTATATACAGGATGAATATAACATCCTGCCTGTTACATCAAATTTTCGAATCATGTACACACTGAATACATAGGGAAGTGCATTGAAAATTTATGCATTCTGGTGTAACTAACAGAGTGACTCATTGCATGGCCAATCACCAATTATCGGAGTATTCAAATTACTCCTGAAAAATAACCGAAAGTATGACACAAGAACAGACAAGGAACCTACTTGTAGCAGTTAATGGTACCAAATTTTGTCAATGATAAAAGTTGCTAGTTGTGGGAAAAAAAAAAAATCTAATTTATTGCAATAACTCTCATAGTAAATAATATTATTAATTGCACACAGCACTGTACCGGCAGAGATATTAAGCTAGAAGTTGTACATGATAAGAAAGACTGAGTGTTGTTACTACAGTACATGGATCAGAAGCCCCCCATCTATAATGGAACACATACAGATTATGATTATGCCTCTCATACTATGTATGCTATATGTTACCTAGAAAAGTCATATCAGTATGCCTGTTCTCTATATCTTCTGATGATAATCATTTTGATGCTATCTAGCAATCTGTGGCAAAGAGTTTCAACAGCATATTGTAAAAACACAAAGCATTCAATTTAAATCTGGTAAGTTAAAAAAAATGCTACCTCTTGTTGTTGCCTAAGGAAATGCACCTTGATAGTAGTTTGAGTATTGTGCAATCTATAAATAAAGCTAATTAAAGGATGCATCAACATGATCTATAAGGTAAAATGTACAAAAATAAAGCGTACATTGACATTGTGACATATATATTGCCATGCCCACCATATAGTGTGAACTGCATGAATGTTCACGATTTTTGAAAAAAAATATCCTGTACAGATATTACTCCCACCCCTACTCTTACTATAGGATACATTTGAAATTTCCCAGTACTTGACGCTGACATGCACATTTCTAGATGCAGAAGCATTTTCAGTTTATTTTTTTTTTTGGGGGGGGGGGGGGGGGGGGGGGGGGAGGCACTACCATGCAAAAATGCCTTGACAGGCAAAATAAGAAGTCATCAGACATTATCATTGAGGGGCACAGGCATAAAGTAGCTATGTTTTCAATAGTATACTATAAACCAGCAAAATTATTAGGGTTATACTAAATATACCCTTGCCTATGGCCATGATGTCTGTCTGTCTGAATTTTCTGTCCCAAAGAGGTACTGTTCTGTAGATAGGATATTTCATGACCCCCCCCCCCCCCCGACACCCCCCCCCCCCCCAAATTAAAACGAATGTAATGTAACTGCAGTGAAAACTATCACAGGCTGATAGTGGAAGACAAAAAAAAATTGCAATTTCTCAGTGTGACATTTTAAGATGATCATGAATAATGTAGTGTGCAAGAATGTGCCCTTTTTACGCATAGGGAAAGTTTCAAGTGTATAAACGGTTTCAGACCCTTGTTCCTTTTCCAAATGACCTTGGGTCAACCCAATAAGCCATCCTCAGGTTTTTAGCAATTGAGTTTCAAATGTTTCTGTATTATAGGGTTATTGAACTTATATTGGAGAAAACTGGCACAAGTTGGTTGTACAAATGCACAAGCTTGTAAGTTTGTACAGCCAACGAGTGCCAATATTCACCAATTTATATGTAATTTCAATTACTCCTTTATTGATTATATAGTTAAAACATTTCCCATTGATTTATATTAATTATTTGAATTAAATATCTCAAAATTTATGAGAATTTTTCAGTATCGGTATTAAAACTGTGCAATAACAATTATCTGTCCTGTAAGTGTTCAATATTACATCATTCTAATGACCCTGCCAAGCATTTTCTAAATTTTCAGTAAAGCAGAGGTAGGTGTCTTCTCCCTCCCCCCCCCCCTTTTTTTTTAAATAAAGAAATCCTCACCTAAATGACCCTGATGCTCCTATGACAAATCATTCTTAAACATAAAAGCTTTTTTCCTTGAATAATTTCAGGGTACACTGACTGATAGAGATTTACAAATTTCTTTCTTTTACATTTATCAGATTTCAGATACACAAACAATATTATCTGCATGATTCATCCATAATATTTGATCATACCTATTACCCAGGGCTATCTATATGATAACAAGAGTAAAGTACAAGTGAAATAAAGAAAAACCCTTATTCAGCAGCTATTAGCTATTTTGTTTTTACTACGGTTGTGAATTATTTTTTTTCTCTCTTTTTTTGAGAACCTCATATTTGCATTTAAAATGTTGCTGTTGTATAGTATCGTTTCAACTTTGAAGACCTCTTTTCCATTTGAAAACATTGAAATGATTATAATGTCATTTAGAATGAAAACATTGTCTCTGAAATTTGTTAACAGCCAGATGGCATTTATACTTATGGAGATCACTAGGAATTTTGAATTTTATCAGTCTAGTCTAATAAAGATATTTCCTTGATCACCGAACTCTGTTATTTATCCACCTATACAAGCAAACAGCAGGGGAGCTGAATCCTTCCTGATTTCCGAATTATAAACATATGAATTTTAAGTCAAAACAGCATAGATCCCAATTATATCTCTCTATCCAATAATCTGAAATATCAATTATTATTGATATATTCCCTAGATCATTTCATCTATGGATAAGAATGATTTAAGTTTTGTGTGAGATAATAATTCTAACTTTTTAGAAGTAAGATTATCCCTCTGAAGGAGATAGTCTGACATCTTACTATTAGTTCACCGTGAACTAGCTGCCAAACCCAATTCAAGGCAGCAAAGAAAGAAAAAGACAAACACCTTACTTTATGGTACATTCACCTCCAGTTGAATGTCCTCATGTATACTCATAGGGTTTCGTTTTTAATGATTTTATTTTTTTATATTTGAATATAAATCAGGCTACTAAGGTAGATACATGCCCTACTCAAAAATCTGACCATTCTATTAAAAAATTTAAGTTTTATCTGTTGGACAAAGAAGTTCAAAAACATATTTTGATCTCCTGTGAATAAGGTCATTATGAGGGGGGTCACTAAGGTGGAAGGGAGCTATAGTACCCCCAAAAAATCTACATGTCTGAGCTGGTGACCGAAGTATGGGGTTTTAACAAAGGAATTGATATAGAAAAAGTTCATGTACTGTTCTGTAAAAAAATTTTAGGGTTAAAAAAGAATGCTAGTAATAAGCTTCTTTATCTTGAACTAGGTAGATTTCCCTGCCATATTTTAAGAAAAATAAAAATTATGAAATATTGGTTAAAGCTGAGAAAAACAGAAAATTGTATTCTGAAAACGTGTTATGAAGAAATGGTACAGGAAAATGATGAATGGATTGTAAACATTAAAACAGAACTAGATAAATTAGGATTAAACTTCTTGATGCATACATATTATGATGAAAAACATGCATTTAAACTTACTGAACAAAGAATGAAAGATATTTACATTCAAGAATTAAGAGAAGAAATCAACATTATGCCCAAAGCTAATTTATACAAATATCTTACAGAAACACATTGCCTGCAATATTACCTAAACAAGCCTTTAAGTGTTAAAAATCGAGAAATAATTTCAAAATTTAGGATGTCTGATCACAATTTATATATTGAAAGGGGTAGATACACGAATACTAGTAGAAATGATAGAAAATGCATATTATGTAATCAGGACAAATAGAAGATGAATTTCACTTTATTTTACAGTGCCCAACATATGAAAATATAAGAAAGAAATATATTAAAAGATATTATTATCAAAATAGTAGTGTATATAAATCAATACAACTATTTAGCGCTCGAAATGTAAAGGAATTAAGGGGTCTTGGAAATTTTTTAAGAGAAGCAAGTCATATACGGGAAAGTAAATTAGAACTATGATATTAATTTTTTAAGAGTGATTTACTATGTCAAAACAATATATATATATATATATATATATATATATATATATATATATATATATATATATATATATATGTAAACGTTTAATCTCAATGTCATTTTAAATTGTGTGAATATATTGTAATATATATTATATATATTCTCTTTAGCCATGTCAATTATGTATATACTATATGTAATTACATGTATGTAATTATGTTTATCTGATGTATCTGTTGATACAAGGAATAAAAGAACTGAACTGACCACCATACCTTCTCAACCCTGATTGAACTCAAGTCAAACTGATGAGAAGACAGGGAAAGCTACTGATACACTTGCTGAACAACATTTACATTTCAGTTTTCAATTACCAAAAAAACCAAATTTCTATCAATAAAATTACTTTACACATTTGTAAATATGTATATTTTATACTCTTGGCTTAAATTTTTTTCAAATATAAGTTCTTGTAGCTAATGCTAAATTGAATTGAAAAATCATTTTTTAAAAAAAAATCCTTTTTTATTAGAATTTATAATAGTACTTAAATCATGCTTATAACAAAGTGCCAGCGACAATTTTGCTTCATTAAAAATGTAATTCATTATATCCATTAAGTTTACAATATATTTTAAAGTCATGGGGAATGAAAATCACTTCACTATAAGTGTCAATTCATTATAAGCATGTTTTACTGTATACCCCCATCACCTCCATAATTAAAAAAATAATTATATATATCTACTCCAACACAGATTTTCTGGCCAATAAAGAAAGATGTATTTATATTTATTTAGAGTTATTACATTCTTTTTCACAGTTGATATTGTGTTTCTTCTTTTGACTAGTAATGAAATACTTATATTCATGTGGAATTCATTTCATATGTAATGATTTAAGGAAACTTTTTTTCTCTCCTTCAGATCTATTAACCTGATGAGAGATGAAAACATTAGCCTGGAATCTTAGCCCAAAATGAAGCTGCAACTTATAAACACAAATATCTTTCACCAAACCCAGAAAACTTCTTCATTTCTTGCACATTTTTTCCCTGCATACCTAAATAACTTTTTCTGCCAAAAGTTCCAACACTTTACTTTAAGAGATGTCAGTCAGTTCTTGTTTTGTTCTGTTGCATAACAGTTTCCCCATTTTATTGCAGTTTGAAAATGAGCTATTCAAAGGGTCAGAAAACATCCTATTAAGTAATCTCCCCTTCTACTTCCTCCAAACTCCCCAGCTTCTGTTCATAAAAACACCCCATCCTAGACATGCTTAGATAAAAATCTTGATTATATGATGATAATGCTCTTAAGCAAACAATTAACAAGTTATTCTTTTTGAGAGGAAAGCTGATTTTTTTTTTATAAAAAGCAACTGTTTTTCAGCAACAATATACCTGCTGTAATAGGTATACCTTTGTTTCAAGAGTAATGCTGTAAAAATCCACCCCGTGGAGAGGCTTAATTACCGTTTTAAAGTGCACAGTGGCACACGGCTTCTGTTGCACTTTTTAAATCACCCTCTTAAAACATCATCCATGAAAACACAAAAATGACTCTGAATCCTCTCCAGAACTATTTAGCAGATGTTAAGTTTTCTGCTTTTAAATGACAAAATAAATAAATCATGCTCCTCTATCGCTTTAAACATCCCTTAAGTCTCAACATCACAAAAAAATCTAAAATCATTAAAATTCCTCTTTTTTCTCGTTTCTTAAACAACAGGTGGTTTGAAAATAATTCAAAATCCATTTTAATATTTTTTTTTAGCATTCTTCTCTTTCTTTATACATATGAAGTTCTAACTAAGGGTCATTATACTCAAAGGAAGAAACTGAAGTTCTTGTCCTCCCTCTCTTGCTCTGAAGTAGGTAAAAGTTTGGATCCCCACCTAATACCCACTTAAAGCAACAAGAAACCTACAAATTTGGCACTATGTTAAAAAAACATATGAGGAGGTTATGACAGCCTCTCCTGGTTGAAATTAGGTACTTACATCAGAGATTGTGTGGTATGTCACTTTCTTCAGATAAACATTGTAAATCGCCCCATCTTCTTTTTCTTCTCTCCAAAATCTTGTCACATCATCCTAAAATAAGATTCAAATTGATCATTCTATATTTTTTTCTCGGAACATTTGAATACATGTATTACTTTGTATCATAAACAATGACAATTATTTTTGAGGAAGCACTCTGACAAGCTACCATGTATACAAACACCCTTTTAACGTGTTTTACCGGTAATTAACACGTTTTGCTTTTTCACTAATTGAGTAATTCATTGTGTCTGGAACTCAAATATGCATGGAATGGAAAAGTCACAGAATACTGTACAACAAAGTTGTCAAGTTAAAATATGGGTCACAAAGTATAAATATACTATCATTTCTCATCAAACAGAGAAAAAGGAAGCTAAATAAATGTGCATATTCTGAAAGTAAATGATAATGAATTACATGTAATTTATTACAATCAAACACTGTTATGGCTTAAGTTTATGACAAACAATTTTTAAAACTAATTTCCTTTGCATTTTTTGTTGCCTTTATTCAACTGGTTGGATAAATCCTGATGAAAATTTCCAATTAAAATCTTTAATTTTTCTTGTGATTGAGATTTAATTAAACTTTCAATTGTTGATTTATACTAATATGTTCATTTGAATTACATAGTACATCCTATTATTACCCCAAATCATGTCTACAAACTGTAATTGTGGCAAAATTAGGCCATTATTACTTATAACATGAAAATGACTTTACATGAAAATTTTCATGTTGACAAAATTGCTTCAGCATTGTTCATAATTCATTTACACAGTACTTCTTACATTTTAAAACATAATATTTGTCAATATACCATATAGTATTTGAACTTAGAATTACTGTTTAAAAAAAAAAATCAAAACAAAACACTCTCACAAAAATACTCACCAACGTCATTTTTGCTCACATTTTATAATCCAAAAACAAACATCAAGTCAACGTAAATCACTACCCAATACAAGTAACATTTATATCATTGCGGGAATTTCGACCACTTTAGAAGGAAATGCTTAGAGGCCCCTCAATTTGATACTCAAAAGCTTGAAATCTATCCAACACCTAGAGCAGGGTGCTTCAGTTATAATTTACTGATGAGTTAGCCACTTTACGTATGAACTCCAGTCTAGCTGTCACTTCAAGGGGAAAATTTTCACTGTTAATTTCCAGAAAATTTTACTTGTCAACAATTTTTTTTTTCCAATTTTTTTTAAATTGCAATTTATAATGAAGCTGGATATCCCACTATGAATTCACAGTTTTAAAATCCTGTTCTTTTCCTTTGAATTTCACTGTAAAGCTATTTTCATCAAATAATTTGAATACACTATCGTGACTATAGCTATGTGCTTCTGAACAAAACTTCGTAACTAATGCTATAGACATAAAAGAAAAGCCAACACTTGTCTGATCTCACTATGAAGTCAAAAATCTTGGGTCCTAGACGCCAGCCAAATTTTGACTCAAGGAAATTTATACCATCTGAGTCTCCACTGTCCTTTGACTGATACGTTCCTGAAGCATAAAGGGAAACAATCAACTACATGTATATGCCAAACTCGGGGTGTGAACAGCTAGGATTATCAGTTCAAACTCTGATAATTCAGCTGATAATACAAATATCATATCTGTCTCACAAAGAGCAACAGATAATTAAATCTGTGTTAATCCTATGTTTATCCTACCCACACGTGCACAATTATCACATGGCTTAGAACAATAGGTAAAAATTTGGTTTATATAGGAGTCCTAATAATGGGATTATCATGCCAGGCATTGAAGCAGCATGTTTTCAGGTTAATGATCTCATCCTTCCTGTTTCTAATTATGATATAAGAAGATGCATAATTAACCTGTTTAAAAGTTGGGTTTATAAAGTTCATGATATAATTTTACTTTCAAGGTAGGACAAACTAAAAAAAAATTATATACCAATATGTTAAAAGTCTTTGTTTTCATTCAATGTAAGTCTTTACAAAAAGGAGACAAAAAGATCAAAGTTTGTCTTTTTTTTTCCTTTTTTGATTACTGAGATGTAAACTATACCTAGTGGGGATGCTCTCACTGTGAATGTCAGGTTTGTCATATGTATATGAGAAGTGCCATTTACTCAGTGCCATTTACTCAGTCACATGTGAAACGATAAATAATGTAGGAACAATAATAAGTATAAAAGGCACAAAGACATCAAGTATAATTATCTATAAGGGATAATTGATAATTTTTTTTCAAAAAATGGGGGAGGGTCTGGATACCGGTAGATGGAACCATCCTGATTCTCTCTCTCTCTCTCTCTCTCTCTCTGATGGACACCAAAGATAAAAATTTCTTGATTTATGATATCCTAAAAACTGATACCATACATATGTTGATAATTATGTATATATATGTGAAAAAATCAAAGTGGATTCTCAGTTTTTTGACACTCCTACAAAGTATGCTAAATCAAGATTTGATCCAAGATACAGATGCATGTTAATCAATGTGTTACTGTAAAAGTCTTTATTTTTTTAAGTTCCACTGACTTCATCTCAATGAAAATTCAGCAATATTCAGACATTTTTCATTTAAAATTGTCTTTGAGGCTAACAGTTTCTCCAACAAATTGAGCTACACATTTAGCTACCACAAAGAAGGAATTCTTTGTACGTACCGTATATACTCGCCTATAAGTCGGTTGTATTTTTTAAGCTTCAATCAGAGGGATTGACCCATAAAATACCAATCATTTTATAACTCGCGTGTAAGTCAGATAAAGAGTTTTTGACCAAAGTTTAACTCCCAAAAAACCGACTTATAGGCGAGTATATACAGTACTACAGCCTTCAAAAGCTACTGAAGTACTTGTACACTCACAATCAGCAAGATGTAGCTGCAGCTAGTCTCAGTGCTACATTTAAAATTTGAGCATTACTTTGTGCAAAGATATATAATGTAATCTTCAGAGCTTTATTGAACGAACAAGTACATATTAATGACTTGCCTTGAAAAACAGTAAATATATGTTAATAATATTGTAATGGTTTGGGCCGTGGATATCGGCCTGAGTAGCTCAGTCGGTAGAGCACCTGACTAGTGATGCAGGGGTCCCGGGTTCGATTCCCGGTCCAGCCATACATTTTCTCCTTTCCTGTTACAGATTTGGTGCCGTCGACCACCCCTGGACTTGCAGGTGAAAGTCCTGCCAGGGGCAAATAAAAACTTGGGTTGTGTCTTCGAGGGCGAAGACAAATTAAGGAGGGAGGAATGTAATGGTTTGGGCCGTGGATATCGGCCTGGGTAGCTCAGTCGGTAGAGCACCTGACTAGTGATGCAGGGGTCCCGGGTTCGATTCCCGGTCCAGCCATACATTTTCTCCTTTCCTGTTACAATATAAATTCAAATCTGAACCTCAGTATCTTGATCTGAGAATGCGAGTTTGCAGTTCAGATTGTAACAAATATTTGATGATTTTTAACTTCAATATCTTTAATGCTCAGATGTCACTCAGATTTGTTAAAAGTCAGAGAAAATATCAAGACTTGTATTTTAAATCAAAAGAAGTATTATAACAGTCAATGTTGAATAAAATTCCAATTGATATATATACCTTTAGCAAAAACAGAAACTTAGAAAACATGCTCAGGCAATTGTAATAAAGATTTAAGAATAGAATATTTGCAATTCATAACTCAAGTAATGGAAATGGAGGAATTTTCAAGGGATTGGGGTCGAAAAGTGGGGGGGGCATTATCAATTTAGCTCTTTCATGATAACTGTGGTACTTGCTCTTTAGCAGGGCAAAAATTAACAAGTGTTGGCAGATGATATTTAATATTAAACAATATTGCTGTTATGTCATACTTCACAAACTACCCGGCTATATTACTGTTTAAATATATATTTCATTTGAATTCATTTGAATTAGATGTAACAAACAATCTACATATATTTATTTGGCATGGCAAATGTTTCAGAATAACCATGATGATAGTGGTATACTTAACACCTTAATGTTTATCACACTATGAATTTGCAATAACGGGCCTGGTCGAGCAATATTCCAAACTATGATTTGTAAACATTAGCCATTAGGTCAGCTGGATTTCCATCGAGCTGCTTCTACTGTCAACATCACAGATGTCGACGTTAGCATTTATAAATTACTTGTCCCCTTATCCTTTTCTTTCTTTCTTTTTTTTTTTTACAGTTGAAATGTATTTCTTGCATAGATAATACTTTGCACTCGCAACGGAATAAATGTATCATTGCTGCTTTACTGGATTTTAAAAAATAACGATAGTCAAAACGTCAGTATGTTGGCCAGATACATTGTACAGTTGTAGTAATACAGCATTTACAACATACGATCAATATTGCATGCAGGAAAACTCACCTGGCCTTCGGAATTAGAAAAGGCCATGTCAGATCCTCTCCTTCATGTTTTTGAATTGTTTCCCAAACCTGCTTCCCAGGGAAAATTCAGTAAAACATCACTTCCATCATCTCATTATGTTATCCTCTCTGCATCAAATCTCACTTCCGGTCAGACATGTTTATGTATGAACATCCGGAAATATTAAAGTTTCTAGGCCTATTTATTTTTCCTGTTCTTCAACAAAACATTGAACCAAAATTTTTTTTATCTGAGTTAATCCGCATTTTATACAAGATTGGATATTGGTAAACAACACTGACATCAAGTGTCAGACAATATTCAACAACCCTTCGAGGGCCTCTCGGATGGTGTATGGAACACAACACGCGTTAAAAATCAACGATTTCATGATTCATGATACAGTACGATTTCATGATTCATGATAAAGTACATCTTTGTTCACCTGTACATCTTTTAATTTGATTAAACTGTTAATCGTATCAAACTACTCATTTCCTTGACTTTTTATCCCACGTAATCGAAGATTCGGAGGTATATAGTTTTTGCCCTGTCCGTCTGTCTGTCTGTCTGTCTGTCTAGCTGTCTGTCTGTCTATTAATTTTTTTTTTTCTGTTCGTCAACAAAAATTTTAACCTTGTCCATAATTTTGATTGGTTGGAGCAATGGCTTTAATATTTCACATGTAAATTTCTTGCGACAAGAACTTTCTTTGGGTATGAATATTTTTGACCTTGACCTTGGAATTTGACCAACATTTGCAAAAATTTTCCAAACTTTAACATTGGCCATAATGATTACTTTTGAACAGTAGGGATTTCATACTTCACATGTGTATTTATTGTAAGAAGACCTTTCCATGGGTTAATTTTTTTTTTACCTTTGACCTTAGAATTTTAATCAATTAAAAAAAATTAACCTTTGCCTTAACTTTTGAACAATTAGTACTTGGGCTTTCATATTTCAAGGGTCTATTCCTTGTGAAAAGACCTTTGGATATCAACCATTTTGACCTTGACCTTGGAACTTGAAATTATTGTTTATTTCTTATATTTAAAAAAAAAATAACCTTGATCATAACTTTTGAACAGTTGGTGCTAGGGCTTTTATATTTAACATGTATATTCCTTGTGACAAGTCCTTTCCCTGGATATCATTGATTTTGACTCTTTGACCTTGACCTTGGGGTTCAATCCATTTTTTGAAAACTTTAACCTTGGCCATTACTTCTGAATGGTTGGTTCTTGGGCTTTCATATTTCACAGATATGTTCATTAATACAAGTACCACTTTCTTTGGAATAAAATATTTTTGAACTCTTAACCTTGACTTTGGAGTTGAGAAACTTTAGCCTTCGCCATAGGCTGCTATACGGTGAAATCAGTGTTTCACAAGCACATCACGTTTTTTCAAGTAGCTTTATTCATATGAACAAGAAAATTTTTAGAAGTTAAAAACATTCTATTTGTCTCTATTCTTTATCAGAAAACTACATGCATATATATTTTATTTCTGTGGCGGTCAGACGGATTCGATGGCCGGTGGCCAGATAGCTCAGTTGGTAGAGCACCTGACTGGAGATTCAGGGGGTCCGGGTTCGAATCCCGGTCTGGTCCGCTGCATTTTTCTCCTCTCCCGTTACATTTGGTGCCGTGCCATGCCCTGGAAGTGACAGGTGAAAGAGGGAAGAGCCTGGGTTGGTGTCTTCGGGGGCCAAAGACATTTAAGGAGGGAGGAATGTGACGG